TTTTTACATGAAATATAGATGTAGTACATGTACATAAACAGTACAATGGGACATGATGAATGAAACATTAACAAGCATAACACTTACCTTTATTAGCAATTCTTCTTAGTGTATGGGAGACTGGAGGAGGAGAGAGATTGGATTATTTACAGTTTGGAAGGGGAATCCCCTTCCATCAACACCTCAGGTACCAATTGCTTTTCTGGGGTTACTTCTCTTCTCTGTTTCTCAGTGCCACTAGGACCATGCCTTACCACACTGTGTATGCCACTACGGTTCTTAAATCTCTCAAACCAACCTTTGCTGACCTTAAATTCACTCACATCACCACTAGTTGCAGGCAATTTCTTTACCAGATTGTCATGCAACGGCCTAGCCTTTTCACAAATAATCGACTTCATAATACTATCTCCTGCTAATTGTTTCTTGTTTATCCACACCAATAATAACTTCTCAACCTCTTCGAGTACTGGTGATCTTATTTTTGTCAGCATATTTACCCCCTTTGCAACAACAGCATCCTTGATTTCCTTTTTCTTGGCCATGATGGAACATATGGTTGTATAGGGTTTGTTATGCATCCTGGCCAGTTCGGCCGCACTTAAGCCACTTTCATATTGTTCAATGATGTTTTTCTTAAATTCAGTCGTATATCTCACCTTTTTTACCAAAGGCTTGGCACTAGGAGCTTTCTTTGGAGCCTTGGTAGTTTATTTAGTACCTGCAAGCACTAAAATGAATGGAATATTATGAAATATTTCGTAGGAGCGAGGGGACCGTCGCTCACTGGTAAACAATGCCACACTGGCTGGGAAGGGAGGCCGCCCCAGCTCACAGCGTGCATATACGTCCCAGACGAACTACTATTTGCGAGTCAATCTACGATTAGAAAGCCCATGTTTATACGAAAATATCGCTATGATTTCCGAAATCTACGACTCGAGCCCTACGATTATCGAGGGACCACTGTATATTAAACAACCATGGTGACATTACACATCCCTGTCTAAGACCTACTTTTACCGGGAAGTAATCTCCCTCTCTTCTACACACCCTAACCTGAGCCTCACTATCATAAAAACTCTTTACAGCATTTAGTAACTTACTACTTATTCCATATACTTGCAACATATGCCACATTGCTCCCCTATCCACTCTATCATGTGCCTTTTCTAAATCCATAAATGCAATAAAAACTTCCCTACCTTTATCTAAATACTGTTCACATATATGCTTCAATGTAAACACTTGATCTACACATCCCCTACCCACTCTAAAGCCTCCTTGCTCATCTGCAGTCCTACTCTCTGTCTTACCTCTAATTCTTTCAATAATAACCCTACCATACACTTTTCCTGGTATACTCAGTGAACTTATTCCCCTATAATTTTTAGTCTCTTTTGTCCCCTCCCTTTATATAAAGGAACTATACATGCTCTCTGCCAGTCCCTAGGTACCTTCCCCTCTTCCATACATTTATTAAACAAAAATACCAACCACTCCAACACTTTATCCCCTCATGGAAGGTTCCTTGATGTTGGTGAGGGGCTCTTGATTTAGGGAATTGAATCTGTGCTCCAGTTCCCCGAATTAAGCCTGAATGCCTTCCACATCCCCCTCTGGGCGCTGTATAATCCTACGGGTTTAGCGCTTCCCCCTTGATTATAATAATAATAATAATAATAATCCAACACTTTATCCCCCCTGCTTTTAACATTTCTGTCATGATCCCGTCAGTTCCTGCTGCTTTACCCCCTTTCATTCTACATAATGCCTCGTGCACCTCCCCCACACTCACATCCTGCTCTTGATCACTCCTAAAAGATGTTATACCTCCCTGGCCAGTACATGAAATGACTGCTTCCCTTTCTTCGTCGACATTTAAAAGTTCCTCAAAATATTTTCACCATCTACCCAATACCTCCAGTTCCCCATCTACTAACTCTCCTCCTCTGTTTTTAGCTGACAAATCCATTTGTTCCCTAGGTTTTCTTGTTTATCTCACTCCAAAATTTTTTCTTGTTTTCATTAAAATTTCTTGACAGTGCCTCTCCCACTCTATAATCTGCTCTCCCTTTGCACTCTCTCACCACTCTTCACCTTTTTTTTTACTCTCCATATACTCTGCTCTTCTTATAACACTTCTGCTTTGTAAAAACCTCTCATAAGCTACCTTTATCTTTTTTTATCACACCCTTTACTTCATCATTCCACCAATCACTCCTCTTTCCTCCTGCACCCACCCTCCTATAGCCACGAACTTCTGCCCTACATTCTAATGCTGCATTTTTTAAACTATTCCAACCCTCTTCAACCCCCGCCCACTACTCATACTTGCACCAGCCCACCTTTCTGCCAGTAGTTGCTTATATCTCGCCCAAACTTCCTCCTCCCTTAGTTTATACACTTTCACTCTTTTACTTGTTTCCATTTTCCTTTCGTCCCATCTACCTCTTACTCTAACTGTAGCTACAACTAAATAATGATCTGATACATCTGTTGCCCCTCTATAAACATGTACATCCTGAAGCCTACTCATCAACCTTTCATCCACCAATACATAATCTAACAAACTACTTTCATTACATGCTATATCATACCTTGTATACTTATTTATCCTCTTTTTCATGAAATATGTACATATTACTTATTACCAAACCTCTTTCTACACATAGCAAAATTAAAGGCTCCCCATTTTCATTTACCCCTGGCACCCCAAATTTACCTATTACTCCTTCCTCCAACCACAAGTACTCTCACACTTGGTTCAAAATTCCCCACGCACTCGCTCAACATTTCCCAAAATCTCTCTCTCTCTCTCTCTCCTCTACACTTCTCTCTTCTCCAGGTGCATATACACTTACTATAACCCACTTTTCACATCCAACCCTTATTTTACTCACATAATCCTTGAATTAATACATTAATATCCCCTCTTTTCTTGCCATAACTTATAGATGGGGTTGTAAAGGAAGTAAATGCTAGGGTGTTCAGGAGAGGGGTGGGATTAAATTATGGGGAATTAAATACAAAATGGGAATTGACACAGTTGCTTTTTGCTGATGATACTGTGCTTATGGGAGATTCTAAAGAAAAATTGTAAAGGTTAATGGATGAGTTTGAGAGTGTGTAAAGGTAGAAAGTTGAAAGTGAACATAGAAAAGAGTAAGGTGATGAGGGTATCAAATGATTTAGATAAAGAAAAATTGGATATCAAATTGGGGAGGAGGAGTATGGAAGAAGTGAATGTTTTCAGATACTTTGGAGTTGACATGTCAGCAGATGGATTTATGAAGGATGAGGTTAATCATAGAATTGATGAGGGAAAAAAAAGGTGAGTGGTGCGTTGAGGTATATGTGGAGACAAAATACATTATCTATGGAGGCAAAGAAGGGAATGTATGAAAGTATAGTAGTACCAACACTCTTATATGGGTGTGAAGCTTGGGTTGTGAATGCACAGCAAGGAGGCAGTTGGAGGCAGTGGAGATGTCCTGTCTAAGGGCAATGTGTGGTGTAAATATTATGCAGAAAATTCGGAGTGTGGAAATTAGGAGAAGGTGCGGAGTTAATAAAAGTATTAGTCAGAGGGCTGAAGAGGTGTTGTTGAGGTGGTTTGGTCATTTAGAGAGAATGGATCAAAGTAGAATGACATGGAGAACGTATTAATCTGTAGGGGAAGGAAGGCGGGGTAGGGGTCGTCCTCGAAAAGGTTGGAAGGAAGTGGTAAACTCTCTCCAGGTAAACTCCAGGTAAGGGAGGTTTTGTGGGCGAGAGGCTTGGACTTCCAGCAGGCATGCATGAGCGTGTTTGATAGGAGTGAATGGAGATGAATGGTATTTGGGACCTGACGATCTGTTGGAGTATGAGCAGGGTAATATTTAGCGAAGGGATTCAGGGAAACCGGTTATTTTTATATAGCCGGACTTGAGTCCTGGAAATGGGACGTGCAATGCCTGCACTCTAAAGGAGGGGTTCAGGATATTACCAGTTTGGAGGGATATGTTGTGTATCTTTATATGTATATGCTTCTAAACTGTTGTGTTCTGAGCACCTCTGCAAAAACAGTGATTATGTGTGAGTGATGTGGAAGTGTTGAATGATGATGAAAGTATTTTTTTTTTTGGGTCACCCTGCCTCGGTGGAAGACGGCCGACTTGTTAAAAAAAAAAAAACTTATCCTTCAACATTATTGCTACTTCGTCTTTAGCTCTAACACAATTTGAAACCCCTGACCTAATCCCATTTATTTCTTCCCACTGAAACTCTCCCACCCCCTTCAGCTTTATTTCACTTAAAACCAGGACATCCAGCTTCTTCTCATTCATAACATCCACAATCGTCTCTTTATCATTCACACAACATCCACGCACAGGAGAAGTGGTTACTAGCCCCATATCGTTAATATGCTTGCTTTTCATACAAAGGAATTTGTGCAACACTAGGAAGGACTTGAACATATTTATGCTCATTCTAAATATTGTTATTTATGTCCTTTTATATCAGACCATAGCATATTTTGTGTATGTCACCACTGATGTCACTTTACTGCTGTTTGGTGTAATTTTATACAGTAAATAATTGTTTGTTCTCTTCCCAAAAAGCTGTTCTCATGCCGTGATGCCAGCAGTGATACTAAACATCTTCCATAATGAAGCATAAAGGACACACCTTTTTTTTCTGGATATTAATTTGAAACAAAAACCCATGATGTTCACCTCATGAATTACATAACTTCTCACTTAAACCTTCAGAAAAAATACTTTATTGGTTTGTGTCACACCTAGCACTGCCATAGATCTATGTGATGTACAGTTAAAAGTTAATATGTGTAGATACACTGATTGGTCTCATGAGTTTAAAGCCTGTTGATTACAGGAGGGGCATTAAGGCTTTACAGCAGCTTGAGTAATCAAGTACAGGTAGTCAATAAAACCATTCTACAAGAAAAGAAGAGCCCTGTTAATCATCTACAGTTTTTTTTTTTTTTTTTTGTTCAGGTTCCACCAGCTGAACTTGAGGGATTGTTGATGACTCATGAGGCTATTGCTGATGCTGGGGTTATTGGTGTGAAGGATGACGAGGCACAAGAACTGCCCAAAGCTTACGTAGTACTTAAGCCTGGTAAAAATATTTTACCAGAAGATATTATTAATTGGGTACATGGTAAGTAAAATGTTCAAAGAGTTTAAATAATAGCAAAATTATAATGAACAATTTCTTTTTGAACTAACTGCAGTGTAAAGCTTTAGTCTGATATGTATATATATATAATGGCAAAGGGGACAAAAGACAGTGCAAAAATTATAGGAGAATAAGTCTGTTGAGTATTCCTGGTATATATCTTTATTTACTACAAGTACATGTACAAGGTATACAGTCCTAGCTGACAACAATGACATACTACTATATAGAAACTCTCTTGTTATGCTCTGCATTTCGGGCAAATTAGGTCAGTGTCCCAGGATGCGACCCACACCAGTCGACTAACACCCAGGTACCCATTTTACTGATGGGGAACATAGACAACAGGTGGAAAGAAACACGTCCAATGTTTCTACTCTGGCTGGGAATCGAACCCAGGCCCTCGCCGTGTGAAGCGAGAGCGTTAGCCACCAGGCCACCAGAGTATATGGTAGTTATTATTGAAAGAATTAAGAGTAAGACGGAGAGTAGGATAGCAGATGAACAAGGAGGCTTTAGGAAAGGTAAGGGGTGTGTAGAGCAAGTGTTTACAGTGAAACATATAGGTGAACAGTATTTAGATAAGGATACAGGTTTTTGCAGCATTTATGGATTTGGAAAAGGTGTATGAGAGGGTCGATTGGGGGGCAGTGTGGTAGATGTTGCAAATGTATGGAATAAGAGGTAGGTTACTGAAAACAGTGAAGAGTTTTTATGAGGATAGTGAGATTCAGGTTAGAGTATGTAGGAGAGGGAGAGTATTTCCTAGTAAAAGTAGGCAAGAGGTGTGGGGGTTAAAAGATAAAGAATCTAACACAAACTGGGAGTTGTCACAGTTGCTCTTTGCTGATGACACTGTGCTTTTGGGAGATTCTGAAAAGAAGTTACGGAGGTTGGTGGATGAGTTTGGTAGGGTATGTAAAAGAAGAAAATTAAAAGTGAATATAGGAAAGAGTAAGGTGATGAGGATGACAAAAAAAAATAGGTGACAAAAGATTGGATATCAGAGTGGAGGGAGAAAGTATGGAGGAGGTGAATGTATTCAGATATTTTGGGGTGGATGTGTCAGCAGATGGGTCTATGAAAGATGGGGTGAATCATAGAATTGATGAGGGGAAAAAGAAGGAAAGAGGGAAATGTATGAAAGTAGTCTTATACCAACACTCCTATATGGGTGTGAAACATGGGTGGTGAATGTTACAACAAGGAGAAGGCTGGAGGCAGTGGAAATGTCATGTCTGAGGGCAGTGTGTGGTGTGAATATAATGCAGAGAATTCGTAGTTTAGAAGTTAGGAGGAGGTGCGGGATTACCAAAACTATTATCCAGAGGGCTAAGGAGGGGTTGTTGAGGTGGTTTGGGCATGTAGAGAGGATGAAAGGAAATAGAAGGACTTTGAGAGTGTATAAATCTGTAGTGGAGGGAAGGTGGGGGTAGAGGTCAGCCTAGGAAAGGTTGGAAGGAAGGGGTAAAGGAGGTTTAGTGTGTAAAGGGCTTGGACATCCAGCAAGCATGCATGAGTATGTTAGATAGGAGCAAATGGAGGCAAATGGTTTTTAGGATTTGACGTGCTGTTGGAGTGTGAGCAAGGTAACATTTGTGAAGGGATTAAGGGAAACCAGCAGGCCAGACTTGAGTCCTGGAGATGGGAAGTACAGTGTCTGCACTCTGAAGAAGGGGTGTTAATGTTGCAGTTTTATAACTGTAGTGTAAATATGCCTCTGGTAAGACAGTGATGGAGTGAATGATGAAAGTTTTTTTTTCAGGCCACCCTGCCTTGGTGGGAGACAATCATTGTGTTAATAAAAAAAAATTATGTATGTACACATGTCTAATCTGTCATATCTGAGCGAAAGTGCTGAATGATGATGAAAGTCTTTTTTATCTTTCTTTTTTGGTCACCCTACCTTGGTGGGAAATGGCCGACATGTTAAAAAAAAAAAAATACGTGTGTGCGTGTGTCTGTTTCTGTCTGTCTGTCTGTATCCTTTTCAAACTTTTAATACATTTTAAGTTTGTCACCTATCTGAATAATGTTGGCAGAATTACCGACAATATGTTAGGTAAGAGGATGCAAATGCAACTTATCCGACATTTTATAGTGGCAACGTTTCGCTCTCCAGGAGCTTTGTCAAACCATAACAGCTTTACAAAGCTCCTGGAGACTGAAACATTGCCACAGTAAAATGTCACAATAGTTATACGTATGTCCTTTTACCTGACTAATGTAGTAGTACATATTTGCAGTCAAGGGCAGTGCCAGAATTTCTGTATAGGGAGGTGGGGAGCTTAGGGGTGGCTGTCTGTTTGGAAAGGGAGTTAGGAGTCTATTTTTATTGGAGAGGGAGGCTGAAAAATTTTTGGGGAAGGCTTAAGCCCCCTTAAGCCCTTCCCTTGGTGCTGCCCTTCTTTGTAGCTAACTTTTTATTCATAGGAGTAAAAAAAAAAAATTCTCCATTTCAAGGACAGTAATCTGTTTTTTCTTAATTAGAACGGGTGGCACCTCATAAACGCTTGAGAGGTGGAGTAGAGATTACTGAAGCTGTCCCACGATCACCTGCTGGGAAAATTCTCAGAAGAAAATTGAGAGATCATATGAATAAATAATGGAGACAAATTATGTATATTGGTACAGTAATTCATATGCACTTTTAAGTTAAGAATAATATCAGATGAGGGTAAGTGACGTTATATAGAACACTATTGTAAAGAAAGTGCCTTGTGAAAAAAATTATATTCACAATACTAGAGAATGCTGAATACAAAAGGAAATAATATAGAAAATGAAGATTTGCATGAAGATTAAAAATTATAAATGTATGAAATACATGTAACTCTAGAGTAATCATCACTGCTTCTCTTAAAGAAGACATTTTAAAAAAAGCCATTACTGTATTGATGTTATGCATATTGTTTATTTTTGTGCTACACAGTAGTTATAGATGGAATAATCAGAAATTTCAGATTTATATATATTCTTTTCTTGGCTAGCATTCAAGTGTATTTTAATAAAATTAAAATTTTTAGATACTTTAATTAAGAACTGTATCATATTAATATATGAGTGATTCTGTTTTTTAACTGGGGTATGTACTTTACACCTTAACATTTTAGTGAAGTGGCAAGTGAAATTTGAATTGTGAAAATATGTTTATAGTTTCTCAGTACATCCTAAGTACTAATAGGTTTTTGAATAGAATATACACTAGATATGTATCAATATTTGAATTACCAAATTTAAAAAGGAAAACTTGCATTTTTGTTTTTAGGTCAATCTGCCTTGGTGGGATATGGCCAGTTGTTGAAAAAAAAAATATATTTGGTCTGTCTGCAATGATTGTACCCTTTGAGAAAAATAGTAGTGGGTAGTAATTTTACCAAGCACATCAGTCAGAATGTTTATGAATAAGACCAGACATGCAAAAGGACATGATATGTAAGGGTGACATGCTTATGTTTTGCAGTCAAGTACATTTGTTGAATGATATAACACCTGGCTGTGTTTGGATTGTTGTGTGGTTGTTAAAAGATTAAGCCTCATGTGTTTGTGTGTGTGTTCCTATTTCTTAATGTGCATTTCTGACCTATGATTATCTTTAAAGGATATTGTTGTTTGGGTTGTTAAAGTTAATTAAAGAATAAATTTTAAGAAATATCAGTAAATTTAAGGCTGAAGAATATCGTCACAAAATGAACTTATAAGTACAGTATAGTACAAACAAAATATATGCTTTATAAACAAAAGGCAACAGTTTTAACAATTCTCATGTTTCTTGACTTATCTTATTCTGTTTCTCTCCTCCTTGTCTCTTGCACACACACTATTGCGCTCATGCACTTTTATTAGGATATGCTGGTGCTCTGTGAGTTCTGTGTTCTCTAGGTGTTCCATTAATCAGGTTTGTAAGACATGGCTTTCCTATTCCTGATGTTGTGCTGGTGCTCAGTGAATTCTGTGTTCATTAGGTGTTCCACTTGTCTTATTTTTTTCTTGATTACCATTTTATTGTTTTTTCTGAACAGTTAAAGAATACTGATCAAATTGCATTTACCTCTCATTTCCTTCCCCCTTTTTACCTATGTGAGTTGCCCCTCTCTGTCCTGTCCTATATTTCATTAGCCATTCCATGATTAGAAAATATGTATTATAACTTTAGAGCCCAAGTTTCCTTTCAAATGTTAGTGGTATAGTTTTGATAATGAAAAGCTGGCTTCAGTTAATACAGTATTAGCAGTTGATCATGCAGTGAAATAATCCTGTCATACTACTACAGTACAGTATATTATGTGCATCAGTTGTGTTAAGTGTTTAGTACACTGCCATTACTGTAATTCTTATCACTGTTTTCTCTACCTTGTACATGTGACCATCCACTATTTCACACTTCTGCTCTGATTTTTTTTATGAAGAAATTAGAACAAAAATTGTTCATTTCCTTAATTTTGCCAATGATTATTTCACAGTTTACTACAGGGTATGAAAAAAAAATAGACTGCTTTCTAACTGAAACAAAAGCATAGCAGTGATTTATTTAATAAGCCTTACCAAACATTGAAAAGTACATTAAAAATCATTTCTTAAAAATTTGGGTATGACGTGATTACATTTCTAATGCTATGAATAAGAGTGATCAGACATAAAATATTAGATCAGTCACCATTTGCTTGCATTTTGCAAAAAGATTTGAGACATCTTTGAGGGTTTTTTGTGTGCATTTTTTTAATTCCCAATCTTGTTTGGCTCATATATTTATAACCTTGACAAATTTTAGAGATAGACTGGCATACAATAATGGCCCTATTATCTGACACTTAGTAGGTTATATAATCAAAAACTTTTGCTATTTAAGCAAAATATTAATGCAGTAAATGGGAGGAATGGGCATATCCCATTTTTTTATTTTTAAACAATATAAATATTTTTAATATTAAAGACATTAAAATCTTCTTTTTGTTACAGTAATATGAAAGTAAAGGATGAAACAAAAATACTGTATAGTTGTGTGCATTGTAGTTGAAGACTAACTAATACAACCAAGGTCAAATACTTGGTATGTTATCCATCCAGGGCTCACATAAAATCAGAAAGTTGGAAATCTGATAAAAGAACCTTCAATGTATTCGTCAAGTGTATCAGATGAAAATAAAGAAAAGACACTTTAACTGCTTAATTAAATCAATTGCTCTAATCTGAAACTTTCATTTAACCAGTGGGCTTTGGTATAGACATAAGTATACAAACATTTTTGTTTCATGAACAATGGCATATGTTAAAAATGGCATGTTTCACCATGGATTATGTTGGCCAGTGAATAGCTAACTTGGCATGTCATTTTGTTAATGTTTGTCAGAAGTGTTTTGGGGGCTTTTGGATGTTATAACTTAGAATCACCATTCTTATACTATTTAATATTGAAAAGTTTAATTTGGTTGCTCTAAGTAAGTGAAAAAATTAAGTAAACTTTTGTTTTCATACTATATGCTCTAAATTTAATGAACCTCTTCTCTCTGTATAGTAATACACAGGTAAAATGTATATATATAGTTCTACAAGCCTCCAAACATTGTTCAGTTCATGGTCAACTTTTATATATTTATATTGTTACATTTTTTTTTTTAACAAGTCAGCCGTCTCCCACCGAGGCAAGGTGACCCAAAAAGTATACGTATTTATATATTTTATACTGAGGCATCTGTGGAGATAAAGAATGTAATTCATGGAGGCAAAAAAGGGAATGTATAAGAGTATAGTGTTACCAACACTCTTATATGGATGAATCATAGATTGTGAATGTTGCAGCGAATAGGAGGTTGGAGGCAGTGGAGATGTCATGTCTGAGGGCAGCATGCGATGTAAATATTATGCAGAAAATTTGTAGCCTAGAGATTAGGAGGAAGTGCAGGGTTACAAAAAGTATTATCCTGTGGGCTGAGGAAGGGTTGTTGAGGTGGTTTGTACATTTAGAAAAGAAGAACCATTGACTAGTCATTGGTAATCATGTGTCTTAAATATTCTTTGGAGGAGCCTAGATGTGGGAGGAGTCATCCCACATTTGTTAAAGAGAGCACTCCACAAAGGTGGCAGCAAAGCAAATGCAAAGAACTATAAATACCAACAGCCCTGATGTCTCACATTATAAATATCTTTGAAAAAGATTGAAGAAGCAAGATTGCAGAGTACATAGATTTGCAAAATCTGCATAACCAAAGGGAGCATGGGTTTAGAGTAGGTCTCTACTTTGCTACTGCCTCTTATAACTACTGAACCATTATGATATGGTCTTGGATGCACCAGAAGACAAACAAAATGCAGATGTAGTAAACATCAACTTTGCTGAAGTCTTTGATAAGTGTGATCTTGGTGAAATAGTGCACAAAATGCATGCAAAATGAATAACTGGAAAAGTGGGCTGATGAATATATAATTTTATAAGCAAATAAAACTCAGTGTAATAGTGATATCAGAGGCTGCCAAAGTGATATGATCTGTTCCCGAAGGCACAGTACTTGCCCCCATTCTCTTTCTCATTCTCATGTCCAGCAGAGAGAGGTATAAATTAAAGCACCATATCATCCTTTGAAGACAATACTAGAATCTGTATGAGAGTGGCATCCATTGAGGACACAGCACACCTCCAAGCTGACATAAACAGTCTTCCAGTGGGCCATTGACAACATTATGTTTAATGAAGACAAAGTTTTGGTTGCTCTGTTTTGAAAAGATTGAGGAAATAAAGATGAATGGAGTATAAAACAAGCTCAAACCACTTAATAGAGCATAAGACTAATGATTACATTAGATCCCACCTTTGAGGTGTCACTCACAACCATGAGCAAAATGATAGGCTGGATAAGTAGAACCTTTAAAACAAGAGATGCCAAGCCAGTGATGATACTCTTCAAGTTCTCCCTAGGTACTACTGTACTCTGAAAGCTCCATTTAAGGCAGGCAAAACTGTTGTCATGTCTGAGGGCAATGTATGGTGTGAACATAATGCAGAGAATCTGTAGTTTGGAGATTAGGAGGAGGTGCGGGATTACCAAAACTATTATCCAGAGGGCTGAGGAGAGGTTGAGGTGGTTTGGACATGTAGAGAGGATGGAACAAAATAGAATGACTTAAGGAATGTATAAATCTGTAGTGGAGGGAAGGCGGGGTAGGGGTCGGCCTAAGAAAGGCTGGAGGGAGGGGGTAAAGGAGGTTTTGTGTGTGAGGGCTTGAACTTTCAGCAAGTGTGCATGAGCGTGTTAGATAGGAGCAAATGGAGACAAGTGGTTTTTAGGACTTGACATACTGTTGGAGTGTAGGCAAAGTAACATTTATGAAGGGATTCAGGGAAACCGGCAGGCCAGACTTGATTCCTGGAGATGGGAAGTAGTACAGTGTCCAGCACTCTGAAGGAGGGGTGTTAGTGTTGCAGTTTTATAACTGTAGTGTAGGCATGCCTCTGGCAAGACAGTGATGGAGTGAATGATGATAAAAGTTTTTCTTTTCGGGTTACCCTGCCTTGGTGGGAAACAGCCAATGTGTTAAAAAAAATAAAAAAAAATGCTGACCTGGAGAATGTGCAGAGAACCTTCACTGCTCGCATAAAGTCAAGTATGTACCTAAATTACTAGGAACGATTCAAGTTCCTCGACCTGTAATTCTTAGAACTTAAGTGAGGGTGGCGCATTATAAAACACACCATGAAAATTATTGAGGGATTGGTCCCAAATCTGCTTACTCAAATTGTTCCCCATGAAATTAAGGGGCTTGGCAGATGGTGTAAAATACCCCAAATGAAAAGCAGGGGTGCAATGGGACCAAGACTTTTCAATGTTCTCCTTTTTATATATAAGGGGAGTTACTAACAGACCCCTTGCTGTCTTCAAGAAAGAACTGGATAAGTTTCTCAAGCTAATGCCTGATCAGTCAAACTGTGGTGCTTATGCTGGACTTTGTGTGACTAACACCAACAGCCTGGTTGATCAGGTCCTGCACCGTGAGGCCTGGAATGGGACCAGGCTGCGAGGGCATTGGCTTGGAACACACTCCAGGTAGGGGTACAACTTTCTTTTTCATATGAAATTTTACACTTAATTAGGTACCAATATTCAATTTTATTTTTCATTAAGACAAGTCTTTCTTGTTAAATGTAATGGAGAAAATTATTGAGCTAGAATATGTTACATGTGAATAATGAGTCAGCTGTAGAGCACTCAGAATTTTCATACATGCATCCATTACAGCTGTAACCAAGATAGTGCCAAACAGTAAACTAAAAAAGTAAATAATAATTTAATGTTCGGTTAAAGAAATTGGGTAAAGCTAAGCTTGATTTCTTGTGTTCAGAATTTAATCCAGTTAAATCTTACATAAAACCATTCTGGACTTGGCCATAGCCATTCCATACAAATGCAGTGTAATTTTTTAGTTTATATATATATTTTTTTTTTATACATTTTTCAGTCATGCCTTCTTAATGAATGGCAGTAGTGTATAAATAGTTATGGAAAAACCTTGGAAAAAACTCAAGTCTTCCCACCTAAGAATTATTTATATATGAATATGCAAAATTTCATCCTAACAAGCACCTTGTATCCATATTTTTATTAGTGTAGAAATGGAGAACCCATAGAGGTCATGCAGTATCTTGCTCCTTTTATATAATACTGAAACTAAGCTTAAATTTTATTATTTTGAGATTTTGTTTCATGTACAGTATTTTCCAGTTTTCCTCTCAAGGTATGTTAAAGATAACTAGACTTAATAACAATAATAATGATCAAGTTACTACTATATCATTTACATGCTTCAAGCTCAAATAATCAACATCTGATTTCTACAACTGTTAGGACTACTTTCCCAGCATGCTATTTCTACCTCATTATATTATCAATTTTTAAATTAATTTTAATTTAACCAAATTTTAAATTACTACCATAATGGTCCGAATAATTCTGGATAATATTTAATTCATTTTGCTCCAGCTTACTTTTAAGTTTCTTTAACAATACATTATTGTACTTTTCTTATGGTGCCTCTGCTTGATCACTCATGGTAGCTTATTTTACTGAACTGTATAGCAATTTCTTAAATTATTTATGTAACATTTTTCTGCCGTAAAACTTATGTAATTACTGGTAGTATATTACTCTGTAAATGCTATATATTACTGTAAATTTTACTTTTTTAATTATAGCATTGTGCCATGCCTATGACATACAGGATAAGGATATGTAAATTCCCATAAGATTTGTTATAGAAGACTTTACAAAACACTCATTTTTCCTTTATATTCTTTAAACTGGTTTCTCACTTATTTTGGATTCTTAAAATTTTATTTGTTATTCTGATTACAGTATGTATTTTAAGTGTGCACTTTTTAATCAATTAGTCATTTAAAGAATTATTAAAGTCTGCAGGTGTGTAGTTAGCATTTTCCTCATAAGCTGAAAATCTTTGCTGATATAAATCATAGAATGGGTTGGGCTCAAACCCATGGTACACAAGTCCTAAAACTCTCCTGCCTTGGGTTCAGTCTCTGCTCATTCTGTGACTTGTTTCCAATGGTGTTATTACGATTTATTGAGTCATCAGCATAGAATGTGTGTGGCTCAATGTGTATAATATCCCTAAGTATTTTTTACCCCCTGGGTAAGCAAAAGATTTGTATTATCTTAATCATTGATGGTTGACTGTGGATATGTTAATAAATGTGCTGTATGATCTTATTGATTTATGTCCTTATCCATAAATGGAATGTAAGGTCATATTTAATGCTTTAGGTACAATTTACTTTGTAGTTTGTTTATTTATATACTGTATATGCAGAACAACCTGTAAAAAAATAGTGAACTTCCAAAGGCTTTTGCAATTTCTCACCTTGATGATGTGAGAAGTCACAAAAGTACTTGGAAGTTCACTATTTTTCACAGTGGGTGTTCTGCATATTGTGTTTGCATTAGTGAAGCATTTCAGTAAATAGTTTTTACTTCTTGGTAATCTTTACACCACTGTTCTTTTATACTGTAACTACAATTTTCATCAAGAAAAAATAGGATCATATGAGGACCAGTGACATGGAAAAATGACTAAAACTGCACATTTCAAGAAATAATGCAGTATTTTCATTCTGGCTTTCCTGGAGTTTACCTGGAGAGAGTTCCGGGGGTCAACGCCCCCGCGGCCCAGTCTGTGACCAGGCCTCCTGGTGGATCAGAGCCTGATCAACCAGGCTGTTGCTGCTGGCTGCACGCAAACCAACGTACAAGCCACAGCCCAGCTGGTCAGGAACCGACTTTAGGTGCTTGTCCAGTGCCAGCTTGAAGACTGCCAGGGGTCTGTTGGTAATCCCCCTTATGTATGCTGGGAGGCAGTTGAACAGTCTCGGGCCCCTGACACTTATTGTATGGTCTCTTAACGTGCTAGTGACACCCCTGCTTTTCATTGGGGGGATGTTGCATCGTCTGCCAAGTCTTTTGCTTTCGTAGTGAGTGATTTTCGTGTGCAAGTTCGGTACTAGTCCCTCTAGGATTTTCCAGGTGTATATAATCATGTATCTCTCCCGCCTGCGTTCCAGGGAATACAGGTTCAGGAACCTCAAGCGCTCCCAGTAATTGAGGTGTTTTATCTCCGTTATGCGCGCCGTGAAGGTTCTCTGTACATTTTCTAGGTCAGCAATTTCACCTGCCTTGAAAGGTGCTGTTAGTGTGCAGCAATATTCCAGCCTAGATAGAACAAGTGACCTGAAGAGTGTCATCATGGGCTTGGCCTCCCTAGTTTTGAAGGTTCTCATTATCCATCCTGTCATTTTTCTAGCAGATGCGATTGATACAATGTTATGGTCCTTGAAGGTGAGATCCTCCGACATGATCACTCCCAGGTCTTTGACGTTGGTGTTTCGCTCTATTTTGTGGCCAGAATTTGTTTTGTACTCTGATGAAGATTTAATTTCCTCGTGTTTACCATATCTGAGTAATTGAAATTTCTCATCGTTGAACTTCATATTGTTTTCTGCAGCCCACTGAAAGATTCGGTTGATGTCCGCCTGGAGCCTTGCAGTGTCTGCAATGGAAGACACTGTCATGCAGATTCGGGTGTCATCTGCAAAGGAAGACACGGTGCTGTGGCTGACATCCTTGTCTATGTCAGATATGAGGATGAGGAACAAGATGGGAGCGAATACTGTGCCTTGTGGAACAGAGCTTTTCACCGTAGCTGCCTCGGACTTTACTCTGTTGACGACTACTCTCTGTGTTCTGTTAGTGAGGAAATTATAGATCCATCGACCGACTTTTCCTGTTATCCCTTTAGCACGCATTTTGTGCGCTATTACGCCATGGTCACACTTGTCGAAGGCTTTTGCCTTCGACATAAATATGAAATAAAACCTGAGAACTGCTTTGAAATCAATACTTGTTATTAAATTATCTCTAAGTTCTTTCACACATGTATATCTGCTTGGGAATGTTTCTGAAGCTTTATATTTGTTGTTGGTTCTAACCTTTAAGGATATAAAAAAAAAAAGCTCTGCTGTCTGTTAAAAGTACTGTACTGATTTTAAAGCTGTTTAGGGTTTATGAACCTCAAACATGCTTAATAAGAAGACTATCATGGTACAGCATTGGCCCTTGAGGAACAATTAGTCTGCCTATATGAGAATAATAATTCTCAATATAGTAGCTCTGAAGCCAGTTCAAGATGTTCTTAAAACCAGAAGACTTTCCTATAAATATAAAAAATGTTAGAAAGGGTATTGCATAATTTTATGGACTATTGGTTATCAGTGCAGACCAACATTGTTGTTAGAGGGCATACAAAAGATGGGCAAAAACTAGATAATAGTCTAAAAAATGGCAACCACCTGCAAGAAACTGAAAGATCCCAAACCACATTAACATGCAAGTTTGTTTCCAGAATGTCAATCTGTCAAGGAAGGTGCTTTGATGCTAGTGAGGGGCCCCAAGGAAGTGGACCTCTCTTCCCTTACCTTGGATTGAACCTGAATGCCTCCCATTTCTCAAGTACTATGGGTTTAGCACTTCCCCTTGATTAAAGTAAAATCCAGAAAGTCAAATGGGTAAGAAAAAGAATTTTTTTTCCACTTGATTGAAGAAGTGGAAGAGCCAAATGAAGCACAAGAGAAAGGGTAGAGTCAAGAGATTAGATCATTTGTAATGTACTAATGTGATAACAAATGTTCAAGCTGATTTGATAGAAGTATGGATGAATGTGACAAGTAGAGCATACACAGCTGCAGTGAAGATACAGACAACAGTGACAGTGATACATTAGATCAGGAAAAACAGCAGTGTATCTACTAAAGGATGCACAGCTGCATCAGTGTAATTGTAAATCCTCACCAAAGCTCAGACAATGCAAAGAAGAAAAAGACCTGGAAGATTGAAAGACAGGGCAGATGTGATGCATGAAGATTTTTCTAAAATAGGTGTAATATGTAAAGAGTTATGAAGAACAGAAAGGTAAGCTACAGGGGACTGAATGCAGAAACCAAAAGGCTGTAATAAGAAGAGAATTGACAAATTATTGCATATGCTAACATCTAGGTGAACTTATAGGTTGTGGGATTATGCATATCATGGAAACTTAAGTAATGAAGAAATGAATACTGCTGCAATCCTGCAAAGGAATATTTGGCCCCACATACAGTATAGGCTTTTGCTGTGACCTTAAGCATAAACAAACATGGATTATAGTCAACACATAGCTTTTAGGCAGAAGCTAAAGTAGTCAAGTAGTACACCTGGTGTACATAATCCAACTTGGACACTGAAGTCAAATAAAGGTAAAGGGTGACTGTCAGCTCAGGTGAGAAGAGAAAAAATCTGGAGGGTAATTTGCTAAGAAAATGTAAGCTAGAAAGAGAGAGATGTTCCTTCTACAGGCAAAGGCGATGGGTATACTATGAAGTATGGAAGGCATACTGACTGGAGAAATAGATATTAAACATAAATGAAATGAATCATAGAGTCCAAGAAAGATGCACAATCCAAGGCCGCATGAGTTTAGAGCAGGTTACTCCTGCTTCTCGCAACTACTGAGCCACAATGACATGACGGTCTTGGATGCACAGGCAGATGAACAAAATGCAGATGTAATATACACCCTTTGCCATAACCTTTGATAAATGCAATCATGGTGTAATAATACACCAAATGGGTAGGTGGCTATTAAATTTTCCGGCAAAGATATAGCATAGGAGATGGTACAAAAGAAGAAAATGGGTTACTGAATTGCTTAAAAACATAAACATGTCACAACAGTGGAAAGATAGTCTTAGCCAAGAGATCACTGATTTAGAGCAAAATCTTAGGATGTTATTCCAAACAGAAGAAGCACAAATGGACCAAAAGGACATCCAGGATATTGCAAGAAACTCAAAATATTTTTATTCATATGCAAAATCCAAGCTAAGAACTACCTGTAGAATTTGACCATTAATGAGAGGAAACTCGTATACTGACGATGAACAGGAAATCAGCAAAATTCTAAAGGAATAGTATGAATTGGTGTTCATCAATTCACGAAATTACAGCAAGGCAGAGAATGCAGAAACATTTTTTCACTAAAAGGAAGACCACGCAGACCAACTAACTGACATTAGTACCAGTCCCATAGATTTAAAAAAAAAAATGAAATCATATCCACCCAAACCACACCAAGGGTGGGGATTGAACTCATGGCGAGTGGTATGATTTGTTTGCAATTGTCTTTACAATTTTGTGTCATGCCCACCCACTCAGCACCTGGACCACATTCATGGAATACCTTATTTACAAAAAAGTGCAAAGTACCTCTAGCAAGAGCCCTCAGTATTCTTTGGAGAGAGCTTAGATACAGGTGAAATTGGTACCATAGATCTTAACAAGTGCAGACATAGCTCCTTTGCATAGGGGAAGCAGTAGAGCAATTGTTAAAAATTACAGACCAGTAGCCCTAACTTCCACATCATATAAATCTTCAAAAGAGTGATGAAACAGCAATTACAAATTTCATGGAACAGCACAATCGGCATAACCCAAACCAACATGGTTTTCTAGCAGGATGATCATGCCTGTCACTTATGTTGAACCAAAATGCAGATGTGATATGCACAGATTTTGCAAAGGCATTTGACAAATGCGATCCAGAGTTTACCTGGAGAGAGTTCCGGGGGTCAACGCCCCCGCGGCCCGGTCTGTGACCAAGCCTCCTGGTGGATCAGAGCTTGATCAACCAGGCTGTTACTGCTGGCTGCACGCAAACCAACGTAAGAGCCACAGCCCGGCTGGTCAGGAACCAACTTTAGGTGCTTGTCCAGTGCCAGCTTGAAGACTGCCAGGGGTCTGTTGGTAATCCCCCTTATGTATGCTGGGAGGCAGTTGAGCAGTCATGGGATGATAGCACACAAAATAAAAGCCATAGGTATTACAGGGAAGGTAGGCAGATGGATTTTTGGGTTCTAACACACATAACACAAAAAGTAGTAGTAAACAGCAAAATACAGCATCAGTGAGGTAAAAAGCTCAGTTCCCCAAGGCACTGTCTTGGCACCTCTGCTGTTTCTCATTCTCATAGCAGGCACAGATATAAACATCTGCCCCAGTTGTGTATCATTTGTAGATGACACTAAAATAAGCATGAAAGTCACTTCAGTTGAAGACACAGAAAAATTACAGGAAGATAAAAGCAATGTTTTCCAGTGGGTAGTGGAGAACAACATGACGTTTAATGGTGATAAATTCCAACTACACAGTGAACCTCGGTATATGACCAGCTCCCTACTCGAACAAAGCTCAGCACTCGACCAAACAAATACGGCCTGCCAGAACTTCGCTGTAAACTATTTCATGTTTCTTCACATTTTTTTTTGTTTGTTTGTTTTGTATTATTTGCATAAATAAGTCACCATGGGGCCTACGATGATTAGTAATAACAGCTAACCAAACAGAAAATTGGTTGGGAAGAACTTGTTCAATACTCAGAGCGGCACTCGAACAGCCTTCTGGAATGAATTAAGGTCGTACACCAAGGTTCCTGGGAAAGTTTACATTTGATTAGGTTACATCAGCTGGTCTCCCAAGAGTTTCTTGACGGTGTCCAAGCCTCGCAGTAGTGACATACAAGGTGTGTCTCCTCGACAGACTGTGTCTCAAGTTAGTGAAGTTTAGTTGAAGTTCATTTTCGTGTTGTTCTCAAACTACTAGTTGATAACCCAGTTGTAATATATACTCTGCAATATGCCTTTGTCAGTTTATATGGTCTGTCGTGTTTGAAGGTCCACTTGTAAAAAATATTTAGATATCTCTTGAAGTCAAAATAATGGTTGTAAAATGGACGTGAGTCGTGAATACTGTTCAGATTATAAACCCGGAGGGTTAGTAGCCATTGATAACCCAGAAATATCAGGTCGTAGAGGGCTACCTGTCTTATTTCCATTATGGGCCCTTTAATTAATCCCTCTCCCCAGGATGCGACTCACACCAGCCGCCTAACGGCCAGGTACCTACTTACTGTTAGGTGAACAGGTCAGCAGGTGTAAAGATATACAAAATTTACTACCTTGTAGTATACAAAATGTACTTTACATGTGATTAAATATTGTTAACTACAAAAGGCACTAGCATGTATGTGCATTATGGGATAGAACTTGGGTCCCTCAATATACTGTATGAGGCGACTACCAAATGAGCCACGATTATTATTATTATAATCAAGGGGGAAGCGCTAAACCCGGAGGATTATACAGCGCCTGGGGGGGATGTGGAAGGCATTCAGGCTTAATTCGGGGAACTGGAGCACAGATCCAATTCCCTAAATCAAGAGCCCCTCACCAACATCAAGGAACCTTTCTTGAGGGGAAATGAGCCACGAGACATCACATTGTTGCGTCCAAGACCAGTGTAAAACAGTGAATTAATTATACTATATAAAATACATGCATGCTATCTATACCCTGGCAATAATTTATTTCTTATGCAAAATTTTGTTTTTGAAGTAATAATGCATTTTGGGACGTCAGAGGGTTAGAGTTGAATCTTATAACAGTGCTAGTCAATCACAGCAAAGTTAAATATTAACATGACACATCACCGCGTAAACTAAAGTGCGCCAGTCATTATCTATATCTGCGGAGTAAGGTAAAGCTAGTAAGTAAGTTTACTTAGGTAAAGGTACACAAATACAATTACACATATTGTCATACTCCAGATATGTCACGTAGCTCGATAGCTAGCGTACTCGCCTCACACTGAGATCCGGGTATCGATAACCTGGTACGGCTGGAAAACATTAGGATGTTTCCATAAGACACCTGCTGTCCCTATTCACCCATCAATAAAATGGGTACCTGGGTGTTAGTCGACTGGTGTGGGTCGCATTCTAGAACAAAATTTACCTAATTTCCCGAAATGTTCTGCAGAACAAGGAGCTTTCTGTATGGTAGTATGTCATTAATGTCCGCTAGGCCTGTAATATTATTATTATACGCTGTATAGCCCTTGTGGCTTAGCGCTTCTTTTTGATTATAATAATAATAATTATTATTATACATAGTAACATATGTGTAAATTACCTAGGATAACCTACGGAACGAATGGGTGTAAGTTTATTTAGGCACAGGTAATAATAATAATAATAATAATAATATTTTTATTTCTACAAGACAAGTACATGTACAAGGTATACAGGCCTAGCTGACGTTAATGACATACTACTATATAAACAGCCCCTTGTTATGCAGAGCATTTTGGGCAAATTAGTTCATTTTTGTCCCAGGATGCGACCCACACAAGTAGACTAATACCCGGGTACCCATTTAACTGATGAGTGAACATATACAACCTATGTAAGGAAAAACGTCCGATATTTCCACCCCTTCGCCGAGAATAGAACCCGGACCTTCACAGTGTGAAGCGAGAGCTTTTGCCGCCAGGCCACGAGGCACGGGTAAGTATTCAATTCTTATTCTGATCTTGTAAACTGTCATATAGCTCATGGTAGCTGCACAATGCTGCTGTAATGTTAATTTTAATAATAATACTAAAAAATGCAGTATGGATACCTTCCATGCAATATGAACATTTCAGCTGGTCTGGAGTTTCCTCACATTCCGGCATTTTATGTGTCTTAATTAACATGTGTAATTTTATCTAGATAAACTTTGTACTAATATCGCTGCATGACCCTTGCGGGTTTATCACTTGATTTGATGCTTGTGAGGGTCTCTTGATCCAAAGGAGCAGTGCTGTATGACCCTAGTGACTTTACCATTAAGTTACCTATACCTGGATGCTGTTGCGGGGGTCAACGCCCCCCGCGGCCCTGTCCATGACTAGGCCTCGTGGTGAATCAGGGCTAGATCAACATGCCCATGAACTTTATCCCAAGCAGAGCGCATGGGCATGTCATTTTTTTTTTAATCCTGTGGTTTTAGGGTTGTATCAGAAATTCCTGAATTAACCATACTTTGAGTCTCGGTCATAAGAAAATCATGTAGATGGTCGACCCTTTGTCTTATTAACGGCTAACTAGACACTGAGTCATATTGAGACCTCAGTATCTCACTCATTTCTTTGCTGTCATCTATGCAAGTCCCATCTTGTTTAAGCAGGGGTCCAATACTGGTTTTGGTTTTTGCCCTAGATTTGGCATAAGCTATGATAATAATAATAATAATTTAATGAATTAGACCCCAATGGAAATAAGTCACTCTGACTTTTTTGGGTTATCCTAGGTTCTCTACACATATGCTGCTATGTAGTCATTGTGGTAGTCTACAAGCCTACGGATGCAACATCCCAGCAATTCCAGGAACAGCTGTTAAAAATTGACCACTGTCTGGAAAATCTTCCAGCTCCTGCACCCAACATCTTGCTCCTGGGGGATTTCAACTTAAGGCACCTAAAATGGAGGAATATAGCAAATAATATTGTTGCAGTAATAACACCAGGAGGCAGCTCTGATGAAAACTCACACACGAGCTTTTAAATCTCTGCACAAAATTCAATTTAAACCAGCAAATAATAGAGCCTACTAGACTGGATAATACACTAGACCTCATCTTCACTAACAATGATAATCTGATAAGAAATGTCACCATATCAAAAACAATATACTCAGATCACAACATAATTGAGGTTCAGACATGTATGCGTGGAGCCCCAGACCGACATAATGAGACTAGTCACGAGGGAGCATTCATCAAATTCAACTTCAATAACAAGAACATAAAGTGGGACCAAGTAAACCAAGTCCTAACCGATATAAGCTGGGAAGATATACTAAGCAACACAGACCCCAACTTATGCCTAGAACAGATTAACTCGGTGGCACTCGATGTATGCACAAGGCTTATTCCTCTAAGAAAAAGGAGGAGTAGATGTAAAATAGAAAGAGACAGGCGCTCCCTTTACAGGCGACGGAAAAGAATAACAGAGCGGCTAAAAGAGGTCAATATATCTGAAATGCGTAGGGAGACACTGGTCAGAGAAATAGCAAGCATCGAACTTAAGCTAAAGGAATCTTATAGGAGTCAGGAATCGCGGGAAGAACTAAAAGCCATAAATGAAATCGAAAGAAACCCAAAGTATTTCTTCTCCTACGCCAAATCAAAGTCGAGAACAATGTCCAGTATTGGGCCCCTACTTAAACAAGATGGGTCCTACACAGATGACAGCAAGGAAATGAGTGAGCTACTCAAGTCCCAATATGACTCAGTTTTTAGCAAGCCGCTAACCAGACTGAGAGTCGAAGATCAAAATGAATTTTTTATGAGAGAGCCACAAAATTTGGTTAACACAAGCCTATCCGATGTTATCCTGACGCCAAATGACTTCGAACAGGCGATAAATGACATGCCCATGCACTCTGCCCCAGGGCCAGACTCATGGAACTCCGTGTTCATCAAGAACTGCAAGAAGCCCCTATCACGAGCCTTTTCCATCCTATGGAGAGGGAGCATGGACACGGGGGTCGTCCCACAGTTACTAAAAACAACAGACATAGCCCCACTCCACAAAGGGGCAGTAAAGCAACAGCAAAGAACTACAGACCGATAGCACTAACATCCCATATCATAAAAATCTTTGAAAGGGTCCTAAGAAGCAAGATCACCACCCATCTAGAAACCCATCAGTTACACAACCCAGGGCAACATGGGTTTAGAACAGGTCGCTCCTGTCTGTCTCAACGATTGGATCACTATGACAAGGTCCTAAATGCACTAGAAGACAAAAAGAATGCAGATGTAATATATACAGACTTTGCAAAAGCCTTTGACAAGTGTGACCATGGCGTAATAGCGCACAAAATGCGTGCTAAAGGAATAACAGGAAAAGTCGGTCGATGGATCTATAATTTCCTCACTAACAGAACACAGAGAGTAGTCGTCAACAGAGTAAAGTCCGAGGCAGCTACGGTGAAAGCTCTGTTCCACAAGGCACAGTACTCGCTCCCATCTTGTTCCTCATCCTCATATCCGACATAGACAAGGATGTCAGCCACAGCACCGTGTCTTCCTTTGCAGATGACACCCGAATCTGCATGACAGTGTCTTCCATTGCAGACACTGCAAGGCTCCAGGCGGACATCAACCAAATCTTTCAGTGGGCTGCAGAAAACAATATGAAGTTCAACGATGAGAAATTTCAATTACTCAGATATGGTAAACACGAGGGAAAATTAAATCTTCATCAGGGTACAAAACAAATTCTGGCCACAAAATAGAGCGAAACACCAACGTCAAAGACCTGGGAGTGATCATGTCGGAGGATCTCACCTTCAAGGACCATAACATTGTATCAATCGCATCTGCTAGAAAAATGACAGGATGGATAATGAGAACCTTCAAAACTAGGGAGGCCAAGCCCATGATGACACTCTTCAGGTCACTTGTTCTATCTAGGCTGGAATATTGCTGCACACTAACAGCACCTTTCAAGGCAGGTGAAATTGCTGACCTAGAAAATGTACAGAGAACCTTCACGGCGCGCATAACGGAGATAAAACACCTCAATTACTGGGAGCGCTTGAGGTTCCTAAAACTGTATTCCCTGGAATGCAGGCGGGAGAGATACATGATTATATACACCTGGAAAATCCTAGAGGGACTAGTACCGAACTTGCACACGAAATTCACTCACTACGAAAGCAAAAGACTTGGCAGACGATGCAACATCCCCCAATGAAAAGCAGGGGTGTCACTAGGACGTTAAGAGACCATACAATAAGTGTCAGGGGCCCGAGACTGTTCAACTGCCTCCCAGCATACATAAGGGGGATTACCAACAGACCCCTCGCAGTCTTCAAGCTGGCACTGGACAAGCACCTAAAGTCGGTTCCTGACCAGCCGGGCTGTGGCTCGTACGTTGGTTTGCGTGCAGCCAGCAGCAACAGCCTGGTTGATCAGGCTCTGATCCACCAGGAGGCCTGGTCACAGACCGGGCCGCGGGGGCGTTGACCCCCGGAACTCTCTCCAGGTAAACTCCAGGTATGTATGATAATTCTATGTAACTGTATTTGTGTATACCTGAATAAACTTACTCTCGTTCCTTGAATCTTATTGCCTCCCATATCCCCATGCGCTATATGACTCCTAAGGGTTTAGCGCTCCCATTGATTATATTTTTATCTTGGGGAAGAGCTAAACCCATAGGGTCATACATCGCCCTGAATAATAGGAGGCAACCAAATTCGATCCAAGGAAGAGGAAGTCAGGCCTATTTCCGTGGATCAAGAGCACCTGTAGAATTGTCCTCAAACTGCTAATAGATAGCCCAAAGATATGCATTCTCCCTAAATACCCTAAATGTCTACTTTGTAGTTTTATCGTGCATTTAAAGGTCAGTCTACGAAAGATCTTTTGTTAACCAACGGAGATAAGGCAAGTTAACTTTTTGGGGATTAACGCAGTAAATCTTCAAAATTAAATACAGCATTGTGTTTCTATCTCCCATTTTTACAGTGACAAGTCGCACCGTCTGATTTTGTTGAGTTATCCTAGGGTAAATTAAGTTTTTATAAGTAAATAAGTTTATTCAGGTATACACAAACACAGTGACAGATTATCATACATAGCAGCATATGTGTAGAGAACCTGGGATAACACAAAAAAGTCAGTGACTTATTTCCATTGGGGTCCTTTTAATACCTTATTATTATACTATAAAGGAGATATCTTATTATTATATTGTAACGGGGATAATATCTTATTATTATACTATTAAGGGGATATACTAGGAATAAGGTAAAATGAGTTATTTATATTTACATGTATGTTAGCTGTATAGCCCTTGTGGCTTAGCGCTTCTTTTTTGATTATAATAATAATAACAATACATGTATGTTAGCTAAAAAAAAAATAAAAAAATCATTCTCCTCCCTCTGTCGCTACATTCATTAGACACCTTTTGGCTCTCTTCTTGAACTGGTTCATGCTATGACTGGCTCTGACATGTGCAGGCAGTCTGTTCCATTCCTTTATTTCTGTACAATAAAAGGTGTTTGTTACCCCGAGTTAGGTGAGGGGTTCTTAATACGAAGAATTGGACCTGCCCTCTCCTTCCTTGGATCGGACCTGAATGCATCCCATTCCCCCACGCCCTATAAATCCCATTCCCCCAGCAGCTATATAGCGCTTCCATGGATATCACTATAATTACAGCAGGATAACCTAAGAAATCCAAGTAGTGTGACTTTTTAGGTTTTCCAGGATACTACCCATAACAGTGAACCTGAGCGTCCGGGATCGATCCCTGCACGGATGAAACGTTGGGCATTTTTTTTACACCTGTTGCCCCAGGTCATCTAGCATAGACAGGTAGTTAGGTATTAACCTACTGTTCTGGGTCGCATCACAGGAACAAGATTAACTTAGGCTGCCCGAAATGCTCTGCATAACCAAGGGTTTTCTATAAAATAAGTCAATAATGTCAACCAGGTCTGCATCGGTTGTATCACGTACTTATTATTATTTTAAATGCATGGACATTATTATTATTATAATCAAGGGGGAAGCGCTAAACCCGGAGGATTATACAGCGGCCTGGGGGGGGGGGATGTGGAAGGCATTCAGGCTTATTTCGGGGAACTGGAGCACAGATCCAATTCCCTAAATCAAGAGCCCCTCACCAACATCAAGGAACCTTCCTTGAGGGGAAATGCATGGACAAGGAAACAGGATAAACGTTGTCTGACGTGGATCTTAGTCATTCAACTGTTTGACTTTAATGGGTTATTCTAGGTTGAAACATAACTTACTACTGTATATAAAACTAGTGTAAAAGTTTTTAATTATGAAGGTCTAATAAAAAACTTACAATGAACTCGCTCACTGGACCTTTAGGTCATAAGACCTAGGTCTTTCCCTAGCTGACCAGACCACCCTGTCAAAAATTTGATCACATTATGTGATGGATCTTTGCTAGGTAATAAAGGCATAATTTATCACCACTATATGCCTCAAACATCCATATGCCTTCAGAACCACTGTATAAATTAATACAGCTGCAAAATCATTTGTAGATTTCCTGAATAAAGATTATCTCTATCTTAAAAAGATAAGAGAAATATGTTAAGAGTAGAGGTAGGAGAGGGAGTGTTTGGGTCAATACACAAGCAGCAGCAGCGGTCGACTCACGCTCTACACTCTCCGTCTCCACCATCATGGGTGATTCTGAGCTGCCATCTGGCTGGGAGAAGCGTGTCAGCCGTTCTACAGGTACACCATATGTGCTGTGTAGTCTCTTGCACATTTGTATGTGATAATATGAGCATTACTATCTTCTATAGCCTGTTCTTGCACGTTAATCCTCCGGGGTGGGTCGCCTCATCCCGGTGTCCTGCTGCACTTGACGCATCTCTTTCAAATTTACTTAATATTTCTTCCCTCTCATTTATAGGCAGATACGTTCAAATCACCAATTAGTTTTCTCGGATTTGTAGTTATGCTAAAAGTGCAAGAAAAGTCGTCGTGTATAGATAAATAAGAAGTACAGTGCCATGGTGTTTGCAGTGGTAACTAATTAATTTTGTTTCCCCCTACGGTAAACATACATTAAATATCAAGTGTGAAGAATTAACCCATGATGCTGTACGGAGAGATTTTGCTATTTAAAATTTTAAATAGTTCGCTTAATTGTGTAAAGTTACTGCTTATGTAAACAGTTTCCCAAAATAATTAAAAATTATTTTATTTTCAGTGATTGTAGCGTTATAATTTGTTGTAATAGAGCTGTATGGTAGACGTAGCTGGCATCTTTTTTTTATGTAAGTTAAACTGTCACTTCAATGGAAACAGGCTCGTGAAACCTATTTAATTTCACCCTTAATTTAATAATATTAATTAAATTCCATGGTAGTCAGTATCTAGTGGCAATAAGTGTAGGACAGAAAATATACAACTACTCGGCAGATTAATTATGGGTTTAATTGTACAATATTAAGTTGTTTTACAGTTCAGATATTTTGTTGTGCAACTAATAAAGAACTTAATCTAACCAAACAAAAAAATACATCCAATCCAACCTAAAATAACCCAACTTGCATAAGGTAGGAACACTGCAGCAAGTCTATTGGCCCATATATTAAGGTACCTTTCAAATCCATCCCTTTTCAACATTTGCCCACCTACCCTCAAGGTCCCCCTGTGTTTAAGTAAGTAAATTTTATATCTCTAAATAATGGTTTACAGTCTGCAGAAAATGTAATATTATTGACATACAGTGGACCCCCGCATAGCGAACTTAATCCGTGCAAGAGGGCTGGTCGTTATGCGAAATGTTCGCTATGCGAATTAATTTTCCCCATAAGAAATAATGGAAATAAAATTAATCCGTGCAAGACACCCAAAAGTATGAAAAAAAAATTTTTTTACCACAAAAAAATGTTAATTTTAGTACACACAAACTGAAAAAGGCATGCACAATTACATGACACTTACTTTTATTGAAGATCTGGTGATGATTGATGGGATGGGAGGAGGGGAGAGAGAGTGTTAGTGTTTAGAAGGGGAATCCCCTTCCATTAGGACTTGAGGTAGCAAGTCCTTTTCCGGGGTTACTTCCCTTCTTCTTTTAATGCCACTAGGACCAGCTTCAGAGTCACTGGACCTCTGTCGCACAACAAATCTGTCCATAGAGCTCTGTACCTCCCGTTCCTTTACGATTTGTCTAAAATGGGCCATAACATTGTCATTGAAATAGTCACCAGCACGGCTTGCAACAGCTGTGTCAGGGTGATTTTCATCCATAAAGGTTTGCAGTTCAACCCACTGTGCACACATTTCCTTAATTTTTGAAGTAGCACAATGGATTCCACAACTGGCATAGGCTTCTCAGGGTTAGCCCCAAACCCTTCAAAATCTTTCTTAATTTCCATACTAATTCTCACCCTTTTTACCACAGGGTTGGCACTAGAAGCTTTCTTGGGGCCCATGGTCACTTATTTTCCAGAAACAGCACCGAAAACACTGTAATAATACGAAATATTCCGAGTGTATGCTTGAATGTTACCGCGGAGGCTGGCTGGTAAACAATGGACGCGTCTCGGACGAAGGTCGCTGAGCGGGTTTTTGTCCACTATGCGGGGCAAAATTTTGGCGAACAAAGCGTTCGCTATGCGGATTGTTCGCTATGCAAGGCGTTCGCTATGCGAGGGTCCACTGTATTTCACAGTTGAATTACTTAGCTGTTTTAATTTTAAGGTTATATATAATCATGACTGATTTCTACTGTAACTTACAACTAGGCTTCAAAGATTAAGATATTAAAAGGACACCAATGAAAATAAGTCACTTTGTCTGATTTTATTTTTTGGGAGGTTAACATAGGTAATTTACACATGTTATTATGTATGATAATTGTACCTTTGTACCTGTACCTGGGTAAACTTGCTTCTTAATGCAGAGCATTTCGGGTAATCTCAAAATAACTTGTATCTACTTGTAACGTTTAGGTAGATACATGTAGTGGAATTTTTGCAAGAACAATTTGCTAGGTGTTTTAGTTATACAACAGCCTGGTGGCTAAAGCTTCCGCTTCACACACGGAGGGCCTGGGTTCGATTCCCGGCGGGTGGAAACATTTTGACACGTTTCCTTACACCTGTTGTCCTGTTCACCTAGCAGCAAATAGGTACCTGGGTGTTAGTCGACTGGTGTGGGTTGCATCCTGGGGGACAAGATTAAGGACCCCAATGGAAATAAGTTAGACAGTCCTCGATGACGCACTGACTTTCTTGGGTTATCCTGGGTGGCTAACCCCCCGGGGTTAAAAATCCGAACGAAATCTTATCTTATCTTATCTTAATCAAAATTTCAGTATTATGGCACAGGATTTTAGTTTCAATAACCCCCAACACACACACTATGTATGTCACACTCAAATCCAACCCTTCTCACTCATGTTTACCTAATCTATTTTTAAAACTCTTTAAGTTTTAAGCTTCAACCCTACTTGGCAGGTTTTTCCACTTTTCCACCCATCAGTAACTATTTTCAATTCAGTAGGGATATAGGGAACTTCCCTGTATCCTTGTTAAATCTAGACTTGCAGAATTTGAATCCATTATTTCAAGTTCTTTCTTGGATTGATATCCTTAGTACCTTCTTTATAACATTTTATTTATGACCATCTTCCACTTGTATACTTCAGTTTTATCTCCCCTCAGGCCCGGTGGCCTGGTGGCTGAAGCTCCCACTTCACGCATGGAGGGCCCGGGTTCAATTCCCGGCGGGTGGAAACATTTCAACACATTTCTTTATACCTGTTGTCCTGTTCGCCTAGCAGCAAATAGGTACCTGGGTGTTAGTCGACTGGTGTAAGTCGCATCCTGGGGACAAGATTGAGGAGCCCAATGGAAATGTTAGACAGTCCTCGATGACGCACTGACTTTCTTGGGCTATCCTGGGTGGCTAGCCCTCCGGGGTTAAAAATCCGAACGAAATCTTATCTTATCTCTTATCTTTGTCTTTCAAGAGTGTAGGTTCAGGGATCTAAATATATCCTTAAATGAACAATTCCTTATATACATACAGTGGATTATCTTACCTTGGCTTCATATACAGTACTGCTTACCATAAATATAAAGTCATTCTCACATTAGTAAGCAAGTTTATTCAGGTATACACAAATGCTTTACATAGATTATCATACATAGCAGCATATGTGTAGAGAACCTAGGATAACCCAAAAAAGTCAGTGACTTATTTATATAATAGTTCATATTATTTAGTTAAAAAGTGCCAGGGTTATTTCATTCCATATTACTAGGACTACATTTATCTATTTTACATTGAACTGCATCTGCCATGTTTTGGACCATGAGATTAACTTGTTCAAGTCTTCCTCAAGTTTAGTGGTATCTTCCACTGAATCCATTATTGGGCCTGCTTTTGGGTCAGTGAATTTAATCGTGTTGCTATTTATTCCCTCAAGGTTATATGTGTGAATTACAAATAAAAGGGAGTGTAAAACTGATCCTTTTGGAGCACTGTTTATGGCTGGTCCCCATTCTGATTTTATCATGCTTATGCACTCTATTGCCTATTTATGGTGGCCTGTGGCCTGGTAGGCAACACTCACTTCACACGCCGAGTGTCCATGGTTTGATCCCTGGCAAGGGTGGAAACAGTGGGTGTGTTTCCTTACATCTGCTGTCCTGTTCACCTAGCAAGTATGTACTACCTGGGTGTTAATAGACTGGTGTGGGTTGCATCCTGGGGGACAAGCTTGAGGACCCCAATGGAAATAAGACAGTCCCTCAATGGCACACTGACTTTCTTGGGTTATCCTGGGTGGCTAACCCTCCAGGGATAAATATCTGAACAAAATGTTATCTATCAGCCATGCCTCAATCCATGATATGACATTAAGTCTTTTGTGTAGGACTCTTATCAGAAGCCTTACTGAAATCCAAGTAGTCATCCTCATATTCTTTGCCATGGTCCACTGCTTTAGAAAGTCAGTAGATTTGTTAGGCATAATCGGCCTCTTGTGAATCCGTGTTGAAATTCATTAATCAGATTTTGCTTATTAAGGTGGTTTCTAATTATATCTTCTATTATGGATTCTAACAATTTTCTCTATTGATATTCAGCTGTTTGGATGGAAATTTGATGGAGGGTACTTGCTACCTGTTTTGTAGATTGGAATCACATTTTCCATCTTCCATTTTTGGCATGATGCTCTGTGCAACTATTCTTTGAAAAGATTAATTAGAGACTTCCTAATATTAATATTATATTTCAGTGTGATGCATAATTTTTTACAAAATTGGATGACATTTAATGTTGCACATGGAAAGCCCCTGGTTATGCAGAGCATTTTGGGTAAGCTAAAGCCTAACTAAATGGACAGCTTATGTAATAACAATAGCCAACAAAATTTAAATTTTTATCCAATTCAGAAACCAAATTGGTTGTTTTAAGCTAACTTTGATGTGCTGATCATGAATCTGAGTATTTTTAATTTCATCACATAAGTTTTTTGAAATCTTATGATCAATATTGTGGCTGTTTAAGATTGTAGAATCACGTGATATACTGTATCTGCCTAATAATCATAGGTATTACAATATGCATAGATAGTAAGTGTGGTGCAAACAGTGACAAAAACTATTATGTATGTATACGTAACAAAAATAAAAAAAATTCCATACAGTCATACAAAACATCAGTTTTCTGGCTTTTTTTTTTTTTGGTGATCAGTATTGCTCTTCTAC